AAAAAAAAAAAAAAAAAAAAAAAAATTGATGTTTATACTGATGACTAAACAAGTTAAATTCTGCTTGGTATATTTAGTTTAAGTAGGTATGTAATCTATTTTAGAAAGATATTTTATATTTTATCTATATTTTAAATTTACACATCTGGCATATACTAGGCTAAATGAAATGCTCAGTTTGGGCTGTTAAAAGTGACTTAAGGGATAACAGATCAGTCTTTGGAATATATAATCTTGAGACTCCACTCTGTTTTGAGTCTCATTCCCATACTTAGTCTTTACAAAATACCACTCTCGAACAACTTCAGCTTTCAGCACTGGTCCTAGGCCTAGTACCTAGCTTTATCATCAACTCTGCCCGACCATGCAGCCTGCCTGGTACAAGCCATGAGGTGAAGTTTTACAAGGAAAGTGAAAGGCCAACAGGGTAAGATGGAGTTGGCAGAGAAACTGATTTTGGTTACCTGCTCATATAGTCAGGAGAGGGACAGTTATAACAAAGGAAGTAGGACTCAAATTACCTTTCCATACTTCTGGGCATAGGATCCAGTAAGAAGGGAGTGGAAGATGATGATGGTTTCATCCAAGTCCCACAGAAATACTCGCTTAGAGAGGAAAATATAAAAAATAATGAGTGAGCACCTTTTCCAATCACAATGGAACGAAACAAGAAATTAATAACAGAAGGAAAACTGGAAAATTCACAAACGTGAAAAATTAAACAACATAGTCTTAAACAACCAATAGATCAAAGAAGAAATCACAAGTGAAATTAGAAGATACCTTGCGATGAATGAAAACAAAAACACCACATACTAAATTTTATGGAATGCAGCAAAAGCAGTACTAAGAGGAAAATTTATAGCTGTAAATGCATACCTTGAAAAAGAAGTAAGATCTCAATCAATAACCTAACTGTGCAATTTAAGGAACTAGAAAAAGCCAGCAGAAGGAAGGAAATAATAAAGATTAGAATGGAGATAAAGTAGAGAGTAGAAAAATAATAGAGAAAATCAACAAAACCAAAAGTTGGTTTCTTGAAAAGATCCACAAAATCGACAACCTTTAGCTAGAGCGACTAAGAACAAAGAGAAGACTCAAATTACTAAATTCAGAAATCAAAGTGGAGATATTATTACCAATTTTACAGAAATAAAAAGGATTATAAGAGAATACTATGAACAGCTATACATCAACAAATAACTCAGACAAAAGCAACAAATTCCTAGAAATACACAAAGTGCCAAAAACTGACTCAAGAAGAAATGGAAAAATCTGAATAGACCTTGAACTGGTAAGGAGGTTTAATCAGTAATTAAAAACATCCCAAGAATCCCAGATAGCTTCACTGGTGAATTCTACCAAACATTTGAAGAAGAACTAACATCAATCCTTCCTAAATTCTTCCAAAAAGTTGAAGAGGAGGGAACACTTCCTAACTCACTCTATGAAGCCAGCATTACCCTGATACCAAAGTCAGATAAAGACACTACAAGAAAAGAAAATTGCAGACCAATATCCTTTATGAATATTGATACAAAAATCCTCAACAAAATACTAGCAAACAAAATTCAGCAGCATATTAAAAAGAATTATAGACCATGGCCAAGTGGGATTTGTTCCCAGAATGCAAGGATGGATCAACATACAAAAATTAATCAATGTAATATACCGCATCACTAGAATAGAGGAAAAAACCCACATAGTAATCTTAATTGATACAGAAAAAGCATGTGACAAAATTCAACACACTTTCATGATAAAAACACTCAATAAACTAGGAATAAAGGGGAATTTGCTCAATATGCTAAAGGCCATATATGAAAAACCCACAGCTAATATCTTACTCAATGGTGAAAGACTGAAAGCTTTACCCCTGAGATCAGGAATAAGACAAGTATGCCTGTTTTCACCACTTCTATTCAACATAGTACTGGAAATTCTAGCCAGAATAATTTGGCAAAAAAAGGAAAAAATGGTATCCAAGTTGGAAAGGAAGAAGTAAAATAATCTCTGTTCACAGATGATGGTCTTATATGTAGAAAACCCTAAAAAATCCATAAAAAATTGTTACAGTTAATAAATGAATTCAGAAATCAACTGTATTTCTATGCACTTGCAATGAATAATCCTAAAAAGAATTTAAAAAACAATTCCATTTACAATAGCATCAAAAATGATAAAATACTTAGGAATAAATTTAACTGAGGTGAAAGACTTGTACAATGAAAACTATAAATACTGCTGAAGGAAATTAAAGAACACAGACCTAAATAAATGGAAAGACATCCCATGTTCACGGATGGAAGACTTAACATTGTTAAGATGACCATACTACCCAAAGTGATCTACAAATTCAAGCAATCCCTATCAAAATCCCAACAGTGTTCTTTAAAAAAATAGAAAAACTTATCCTAAAATTCATATGGAATCTCAAGGGACCCCAAATAGCCAAAATAATCCTGAAAAAGAACAAAGTTGAAAGACTTATACTTTCTGATTTCAAAACTTACTACAAAGCTACAGTAATCAAAACAATCTGGTACTAGTATAAGGATAGACACATAGACCAATGAAATAGAAGAGAGAGCCCAGAAAAAAGCCCTTACATATACGGTCAATTGCTTTTTTTGACAAGAATACCAAGACCATCCAATGAGGAAAGGAAAGTCTTTCCAACAAAAGGTGCTGAGAAAATTGGATATCCACGTGCAAAAGAATAAAATTAGACCTTTACTTTACACCATATACAAAAATTAACTCAATATGGATTAAAGACCTAAATTTAAGAGCTAAAACAATAAAACTCTTAGAAAAAAACATAGGTGAATATCTTCATAACCTCATATTCTTAATACCAAAAGCACAAGCAATAAAATAAAAATAGGACTTAATCAAAATTTAAAACTTTTGTGCATCAAAGAATACTATCAAGAGAGCAAAAAGACAACCCACAGAATGGGAGACAATATTTGCACATCATATATTTGATAAGGGATTAGTATCCAGACTATATAAAGAATTCCTAAAACTCAACAACAAAAAGACAAACAACCCAACTAAAAAAAACATGCAAAGGGGGGGCCAGGCTGGTGGCATAGTGGTTAAGTTCGTGTGCTCCGCTTCAGAGGCCTGAGGTTTGCAGCTTCGGATCCCAGGCACGGACCTACACACCGCTCATCAAGCCATGCTGTGGTGGTATCCCACATACAAAATACAGGAAGGTTGGCAGGGATGTTAACTCAGGGACAATCTTCCTCAAGCAAAAAGAGGAAGATTAGCAACAGATGTTAGCTCAGGGGCCAATCTGCCTCACAAAAAGAGAAAAAAAAAACCACACAAAAACATGCGAAGGATTTGAATAGCCATCTCTCCAAAAAAATATATAAATGGCCAATAAACACATGAAAAGATGTTCAATATTATTAGTCATTAGGGAAATGCAAATCGAAACCACAAGGAATTACCACTTCATATACATTAGGATGACTATTATCAAACAAATGAGAAATAACAAATGTTGGTGAGGATGTGGAGAAATTGGAATACTCGTACATTGCTGATGGGAATGTAAAATGGTGCAGCCACAACGGAAAACATTTTGGAGGTCCCTCAAAAAATTGAACATAGAATTACCATATGATCCAGCAATTTTACTCCTAACTTTATACCCAAAATAATTGAAAAGAGGGACTCAAAGAGATATCTGTATAGCAATATTCCTAGTGGCATTATTCACAACAGCTCAAAGGTGGAAAAACTCTTAAGTTTTTTCCACAGATGAATGGATAAACAAAATGTGGTATATACATACAATGAAATAATATTCAGCCATAAAAAGGAATGAAGTTCTTATACATGCTCCAACATGGATGAACCCTGAAAACTACGTGAAATGAAATAAGTCTGACACGAAAGGATAGGTACTGTGTGATTCCATTTATATGAGATATCTACAATAGGCAAATTCATAGAGACAGAAAAGTAGAAGAGAGGTTACCAGGGGCTAGTGGGGGGGGAGAACAGGGAGTTATTGTTTAATGGGTGCAGAGTTTTTGTTTGGGATCACGAAAAAATTCTGGAAATAGATAGTAGTAACAATTAAACAACATTGTGAATGTACTTAATGCCACTGAATTGCACACTTAAAAAATGGTAAATGGTAAATTTTATGTTATATATATTTTACCACAATTTAAAAAAATGAGTGAGTTCTCAGTTTTTCCCAAAAAATGTATCAGGACTTTATATTTTCTTTCTTCCTTTTTTTTTTTCAGGAACAAAGGGGAAGAGAGGCACCAAACACAGCTTCAATTTACCTATGTCTTAACACCTATCAATGGACTCATTTTCTTTTTTTTTGGTGTGGGAGATTTTGCTCTGAGCTAACATCTGTTGCCAATCTTCCTCTTTTTTTCCCTTGAGGAAGATTAGCACTGAGCTAACATCTGTGCCAATCTTCCTCCACTTTGTATGTGGGTTGCCACCACAGCATGGCTTGATGAGTGGTGTAGGTCCACACTGGGATTCAAACCCGCGAACGTGGGCCACTGAAGTGGAGTACACCGGATTTAACCACTATGCCATGGGCCGGCCCTCAATGGACTCTTTTTAAACACAGTTCTTCCCCCTTGTTAAATGATTACATTATAGAAAAATTGAAAAAAGAAAACAAAAGGATTAATATCAAAATTCCACTATTATTAGCATTTTGTATGACTTTCTAGTGTTTTTAATAATGAAGCCAAATGCATGCCCATAATAAATTCCTATAGTGCTTAACCACAGAATAAGTGAGTGCCAATCTTATTAATAAGTTACCAGATCTGGTTGCATGTTTCACAGAAACTTGGCCTAAAGCACTCTAGTCCTCTCATTTTACTTTGAGACTTTAAAATGGAAAACAGTATGCTATTACTTATGACACCTGCTTTCTGAATATAATGCATTGTTTTTTCTGTTCTCCTCTGGAATATAAAGCAGTTTGTTCTTTCCCTTAAAAAACTACCTGGCTACCTAAATTCAGAAAAGCTTTTTCAATGCTTTTGGTGAAAAGCATCTGAAAGTGATATTGTAAGTTATGGGCATAGAGAAATATGTTTTAACATTTCTCTTTCCACTTGGCCAATTCAGTTTCTCTTGCTCAGGAATTAAAAGGCACACAACATAGAACCACATAATCTCCATGAGTTTCAGATATATGTTCAATAAACTTAACAAATGAGAAAAAAAACAAAGTAGGTAACTCAAATGAGTTTCTTCCCCTACTTCCAATTCACTGTCCTGGGAAGAACTGGCATCAGCTTTCCTCTTGCCCCGGTTCTTGCCGGTCATGTTTTTCCTGGACTGGTCATCAGCATCTTTACTTGGTGTAGTCTGGGACAAAGATGGGCTTGTAGAAGGGTCTCCTGGAGAGGAAAAGTGAGACATATATTGCCAGTGGTCACAGGCTCTAAGAACCAGAGCAGGAAGAGGGTCAGCAGGGTCTCTACCCTTAAGAATCATTTGCTGGGATGCAGGTTGGAAAACCTTCATGGAGGTTGGAAAACCTTCACCTAAGCAATTTGGGAATGTAGACCTAGGCACTGAGCATCAATAGCTCCTAACATCACAAAGAGTTATAACTAGAATGTGCATGCCTGTCTCCCAATGGAAGAACACATCTATGAAACTGTTTTGCCAAAAAAAACTGAACCTGAATCTGATCAAGCTTCTAGATTAGGGTTTCTCAACTTGCCACAACTGACATTTTGGGCCAGATAATTTTTGTGAGGGGATGTCCTGTGCACTGTAGGATGTTTGGTTAAGCAACATCCTTGACCTCTACCCACTGGATGCCAGTAGCACCCGACACCCAGTGTGACAATCAAAAATATTTCCATACATTGCCAAATGTCCCCAGGGCAGCACAAAATCACCTCTAGTTGAAAACTGCTGCTCTAGATCCATTTACCAATTTACAATAAAATACAGAAGGCAGTAGGACATGTTAAACTACCCTATAAAAGTATAATTGGCAAAATTCAGACTGGGAAATGATATGGGATAAATAATCCAGTTTCTTCAACAAATAAAGTACAAGGGTGAATAAAAAAAGAGATAAGGGAATTTACAGGTTACAAGAGACAAAATGCATATCCACCAGTCACAATGTATGGACCTTACTTGGATCCAAATTTAAACAAATTGTAAAAAGAATAACAAAACTCCTAACATAGATGAGAAAACTGGAAACATGAATACCTTTTGGTATTTTATGATATTAAGGAATCATTGTTGAATTGTTTTAGATGGGATAATGGCATTGCGGTTATGTTAATGAATACTTATCTTTTAGAGATAAGATACCTGGAATTTGGGGAGGGAATTTGATAAAGTATAGTTGAAATAAGACTGCCTCTGAGTTTGGGCCAGCCCCGTGGCTTAGCGGTTAAGTGCGCGCACTCCGCTACTGGCGGCCGGGTTTGGATCCTGGGCACGCACCGACGCACTGCTTCTCCGGCCATGCTGAGGCCGCGTCCCACATACAGCAACTAGAAGGCTGTGCAACTATGACATACAACTATCTACTGGGGCTTTGGGGAAAAAAAAAAAAAGGAAGAGGATTGGCAATAGATGTTAGCTCAGAGCCAGTCTTCCTCAGCAAAAAATGAGGAGGATTAGCATAGATGTTAGCCAGTCTTCCTCAGCAAAAAATGAGGAGGATTAGCATAGATGTTAGCTCAGGGCTGATCTTCCTCACAAAAAAAAAAAAAAAGAAAGAAGACTGCTTATGAGTTTTTAATTATTGAAGATGGATGGTGGATACAAAAGGTTCATTATACTATTCTGACAACCTCTATGTTTGCAATTCTGTTATTAAAAAGTTAAAATTGTTATGAAGAAGAAAGATATTTAGAGAAATAAATTCAAAATTAAGTCATCAACACATCTAAGTTTGAAGCAGTAACCATGTGTATGTCCATTTACTTAGAAGACAGGTAAAGGCAGGATGCACAGAAAGCTGCTTTAGTTGATGTAGAGCACTGTTGTTGTTGTTGTTGTTGTTGTTTTGGTGAGGAAGACTGTCACTGAGCTAACATCTGTGCCAATCTTCCTCTATTTTTGTGCCAATCTTCCTCTATTTTGTATGTGGGATGCCACCACAGCATGGCCTGATGAGTAGTGTGTACCTCCGCGCCCAGGATCTGAACCCTTGAACCCTGGGCCGCCAAAGCGGAGCACACAAACTTAACCACTACGCCACCGGGCTGGCCGCAAAGAGCATTGTTTTTAAAAATGCATCAGTGCTAACAATAAATAGTTCTTCAAGTTATATGACATGACAGCGAACCACCAAATTTTCATGAAAAATAGAGATAAATAAAAAGTATGTGCATATGTTTATTGAATGTTTGTATAAAGCCTTTATGTCAGGGCAACCTGGACATCATAATTCATCAACACATTTCAAAGCTTAATGTATAGGTTTAAATTTGTAGGTTAAATATTATGTATTTCTTTGAGGGAAAAGGACCACAGCTTTCCTCAGAATCTTACAGGGATCCTTGACACAGAAAACAGAACAGACTGCTGTTCTGAGGCCTTAGCGGAAGTCTAAAATATGCGTAGACTAAAACTGAGTCCTCCAACTTTTATCAAAATGTGCCAAGAATCTGAAGTGCCCTGTGAGAAGCATCTTAAAGCTTCGAGGAGGGTGGAGTAGGAGTCATAAATACAGTCTTTTCATTCTTGGTACTTTTCTGTTCACAGCATCAGGTATTACATTTAGCCTTCCAAATACTCATCACAGTTTGGTTCCAATGTTTAAATACGCCTCACCTGAGGGAAAGCCAATAGCATGGTAACAGTGACTCAGACCAGAACAAAATAATCTTTACCATCTCCTGTTGGATGAAATGCCCTTAAGTCAAAGTTTTTAGAGCTGCGGTGCTTACCAGAGGAAAGTCTCTGTGCTGCAGGCGCAGGTACCATGACACTAGGCTTCTCCGTCTGGTATGTGGCTGCTGCTAATGTGGTACTCTCAGCATCGCTGTTAGTCTGGCCTGTGACTCCAAAGCTGGAGCTGGGGTAGCAGGCCTGGTACTGACTCTGACCAAGGATAGTATAGGTGGGATAGTCCTGTAGGCCAAAGGGAATAAGGGAGGAAAACAAGACTCTTAGAAAGAGCATAACAAGAGACTTTCATGTCCTTCTTATTTGTCATTATTCTCCTAAAACATTAATTTGACTTCTCATTTACCTATCTATATCTTCCACCTAAACCAATGATTTTCAAAATGCATTCTGTGGAAACCTAAGAGTCAAAAGGAGATGCCTCAGGGGCTGTCTTTGGGATGAAGGGAAGGCTGAGAGGGAAGGGTCCCATGTACTCTACACACAATGTCCCTTTTTCTACTATAATAGTTCTTTTTTTTTTCTATTTTATGTACTGAATTTCTATATAAATTTCTGCACAGAATTTCTGAAGGGAAGATTCTACTCTTTAAGAAGTTTATAGGGGCCAGCCCCGTGGTGTAGCGGTTAAGTGCACGCGCTCCGCTGCTGGTGGCCCAGGTTTGGATCCTGGGCGCGTTCCGACACAACGCTTGTCAGATCATGCTGTGGTGGTGTCCCACATAAAGTGGAGGAAGATCGGCATGGATGTTAGCTCAGGGCCAGTCTTCCTCAGCAAAAAGAGGAGGATTGGCATGGATGTTAGCTCAGGGCTCATCTTCCTCACAAAAAAAAAAAAAAAAAAAAGAAGTTTATAAACCACTGCACTAGATGGTAGTGCTTCTAAGGACAGATGAGCTTAAACAAAAGAGCACATATCCTAACATTCAGGTTTCCCAGTTTAAAAACCAAGTGTCTCTCTTTCTTTTTCAAATAATCAAGTTTTCTTTACAAATAAAGTTTCTTTAACATATTTGGAGGGAACTTTTGGTGGTTTCACGAGCACATACATGTTAAAACTTATCAAATTGTACAATTTAAATCTGTGCAGTCTAATGTATGTCAATTTTACCTTAACAAAGCTATAAAAAATGGGTATGACAGCTCACGTACCTTAAAAAAATTCAATTGATATTGATGTTGGCAACAAGTAGAAAGAAGCTAACTGACCAGAACAATTATTTATAAAGAGAACCGAGCATCTACCATAACCCAAATATAATTCACAGTGTGTGTATTTGTGTATGGGCGGGAGAAGGAAATATTAAAGAAAAGAATAAGTCATACTAGCTGAACTTAAGGGAGTTAAAAATCTAGCAGGAGAGAAGACAAAAAAAATTTCCAAAAAATTGGCAATAAATTATATGTCAAATGAGTGAATACAGAGGAAGACAACTATCACCTCAGATTGTGGCAGTCAGAGAGCTTTCTGAGATAGAGGAAATAAGAACATGAATAGGCCCTGAAAAGGTTTACTCAGGCGCCAGAGATCTTGAGTCTGGTTGAAACAAAGGATCTCTGTAGGTTTGAATGAGTGGTTAAGGAACATGGCTTGGATTCTTTAGGCAATGGTGCATACCTTGTGTGGGGGCAGGAAATGGGGACTATCAAATTCAAATCAACAAATAAAAATCAACTACACCAGCCCCGTGGCATAGTGGTTGGGTTTGGTGCAATCTGCTTCGGTGGCCCAGGTTCATGGGTTCGGATCCTCAGTGCGGATCTACATCATTCGTCAGCCATGTTGCGGTGGTGACCCACATACAAAATAGAGGAAGACTGGCATGGATGTTAGCTCAGGGCTAATCTTCCTCAAGCAAAAAAAGAGGAAGATTGGCAACAGATGTTAGCTCAGGGCGAATCTTCCTCAGCAAAAAAATAAATAAAATAAAAAAAAATACAAAAAGATTCTGAGTAGGTGAGTGACAGGATAAAAAGTGGCATTTAGAAAAAATTAATTGGATAGTGTTTTAGAAAATGGACAGGTACAGGGGAAAACTGGAGACGAGATGAACAGTTAACCATGGTAATTCAGGATGAAAGGGGAAAAAACCCCAAACATGGGAATGACAGCAAAAATGAAAAAGAAAGAAAGAATTCCAGAAATGGTTGGATTAGGGATGGATAAGGAAAAAAACTGAAGACGACTGGTCGGGTTTAAGGCCTAGGTTTATTTAAAAATGGTGTCATTAACAAGAATTGAGAAGGCATGAGGAAAAGTGGTTTCACTTCTGGAGGACAAGGAGACAGAAGACAGGGTAGAATGAAAGGCTGGTTTTAGATATGATGAACTTAGGGAAATAGCAGGACATGAAAGAAAAAATGTCCATCAATCAGCAGGAAGCTTACAGATATCATGAGGTCAGGACTAGAACCTTCATTCTGGAGGTAGTAAATGGACATTCTGAATATGGTTAAACACTCCTGGGGATGAAGTAATAAACATGTGGAAAACTACATAGACTATCCATGATAGAAGACAGGATCAAAAAGAAAAGCTATGAAAGGGAGAGAGATAGAGAGTACCCTGAAGAGTGCCAATAAATATTTGTGGACTAAAAGAATGAACAAATGCAAGAACAGTCACAAATAAAAAATGAACCAGAATAGTAATGTTAAGTGCAGCCAGAAAAAGAGATCCATAGAGACAGCAGTTGATAATACTAATCGCTGCAGAGAAAACAATAAAAACATAACAACAAAAACAAAAAACCCTACTAAAACACTGAAGATGTTTACCAGTGATCTAAGCATAAAGAGTTAATAGAACAGTGATCAAGACCAGACCACACAGAATTCACAAAGGAATGAGTGGCTAAATAAAAAAATGAAAGTAATATTTATTCATTCCACAAACATTTATTATGTGCCTTTAATGTGAGTGCCAGGCATTTTTCTGAACTCTGGGAATATATAAGAGAACAAAACAGAAAAATAAATCCCTACTCTCATGGAGTTTACCTTCTAGCAGGAATGGGGCAGTAGGTAGAGACACACATAATAGATAAAGGAGCAAATATAACCATATCATCGACAGACTTAGCAGAGGAATGTGAGAAACTGGATGGTAGCCTGAGAAACCATCCAGGGTCCTAGACCTAAGGGCATTCAGAAAAATGTCTCTCCATGGCCCATACTGGTTGTTTCAAAGACTGGCAAACTGATCATGGAAAAAGAGAGGAAGAGCGAGCTAGATGAACTATATCAAACAGGGTTAACAAAAGTAGCACCGTACCTGGTTTGAGATGCTGGAAACTGCTGCTGTTGGAATATTGGCAATTGTAGATGAAGTGGATATCAGGCTGGCATTTGTGCTTGAAGCTACAGGATTGAGAGTGTTAAAAGATATTACAGATACTACGTAAAAGGGTAGAAGAAATTGAAAATATATTGTGTCAAGTAAACAGATCTACAAGGAGATAAAAAACATTGGCAAAGGAAACAAATACTAGTTTTGCTCTTTTGCATGCCATACCTTAATTTAGACTTATTAGAAATAAAAGAGTTCTTGGGGCCAGCCCAGTGGCGCAAGCGGTTGGGTGCACGTGCTCCGCTGCAGCGGCCCAGGGTTCGCCGGTTCGGATCTCGGGCGCACACCGATGCACCGCTTGTCAGGCCACACTGTGGCAGGCCTCCCATATAAGGTGGAGGAAGATGGGCGTGGATGTTAGCCCAGGGCCAGTCTTCCTCAAAAAAAAAAAAAAAAAAAAAAAAGAAGAGGGGCATCGGTAGATGTTAGCTCAGGGCCGATCTTCCTCACAACAACAAAAAAAAAGAAATCAAAGAGTTCAAACATTTTTTTGTTTCAGCTTGAGTCTTCAACTTCTCCTACTAAAGTCCTAGAAGGATACATAATACAATGCACTGGCTCATAGTAATTATACCAATGAAATCAGAAGCTAAACCAAATCACTCCAGTCCATCTCCTCTGGCAGTTGAAAAACGACTCACCTGCAACGTGACCTACTGACAATCAGAAGAAACAGGAGCTCTGGTAAATCCACATGTAAATCCTACATTGTGATATTTACTGTCATTTGCCCCAAATTATGCCTTTCCTGATGCAACATAATCACTTTGAGAAACAGAGCGGGTCCTCCAAATTCTAAAGTGCTTGGAGTTGCTTCTTGTGCTCTACTCAAATAATGAATTATTAATGTGGATCAACAAACACCATGATCTGGCATTTAATGATTTTACCAATGAGACTAGAAAAACTTGGAAAATATAAAATATTATTCTGGGCAGGTAAAAATGTACTTAGGCTGCCTGTCTTAGGACAAGGAATTTGGGTTAAGTTTTTCACACCCTTTGATCACAGATTCCACCAGGGTTTTAATCAAATCCTCAGTGATAGTATTTGCCACAGTGACTTTTTTCAAGTGGACAACGTAATTGAGATTGTGACGTACTGGTCTTGAACGCCTTTCCCTCACTTACCATAAGCACCCTTAGACATGGTTCCCACTGTAGTCACACACACCATAAGTGTTTGCCATCAGGTAGACCTGACTATCTGACTATCTATCCCATTAGCAACAAAGTCCTTTGAGGGAAAGTTAATAGGAAAACCTTCACTAAGAACAGGGAAGGTGAACAAATGCAGCAGAAACGTGAGAGTACTGTTTAAAATCAGAAGGATCTTTTATCCCTTTCCCCAGGGGTACTCTGCCTAGAAGAAAGTCTAGAAGAGATTAAGGTAAGTTAGACACAAGAAACAGCTATTGCTGCAACCCCAGCTTTCAGATGAAGAACGTGGGACAAAGAAGAGTTCAAGTAATTTGTCCACAGCCATGGAGCTAGTGGCAGACAGACAAGATGACAAGTGGGATCTCCCAATTCTTCATCCAGTGCCCTTTCCTCAGAGTCAGTGGCTAGGTAGGGATCAAATTTCCTGACTATCCAGTGAGATTTTCTTTTCCCCAGTACTCCCTTCCCCAGGGGAACTAAAGGACTCTTAAAAGTTTACTTTCATAAACAACTAAATGAAATAGATTTTATAACTTTACAGATGGTATTTTCTTCCCAACAATATTCACCTTCTTCTCTGCTATGGCTTAACCTATTTTTTTTTTCCTAAGGGGAAGTAATAAAAAATTACTGTACATAGGCTAGATGACTCTATAAGTAGTTTTTAATCATTATTATGGGAAAAGAATTTTGAGTAGATTCCAGATTCTATTACCAGTCCATTACACTGGCAGGCCTGCAATAAAACAGACTGAATATAGGTGATTTAAGGTGGGAAAGAAAATGAAGAACTTATTTAGTCTCTTAAGTTTATCTCTTTCAGCAGAGAAATTTCTAGCTCAATTTTTCTTTGGCCCTCGTTCTAGCATATACTCCTCTTTTCCTCCTTTAATTCTGTTCTACCTCCTAAGTAAAATATAAATGGTTAGAGGTACAACATTCATATCTGATCTCTACACACATGGGAAAAAACGTATGCTGACTGACAAGGTGGTTTTATAAATTTAACAATTTTCAGACCATTTACTGAATTGGGCTGAAGGGAAAAAGGTAGACCTTACAAACAATTGGTCACGTACTCTTATTATCTCAACCAGGAAGTTTAATGACTTGATCTGCTAATTGTTGATATTGTCTAAGTTTTTAACAAGTATCATACTAAAAATCACAAATTACTCTTAGCAATCGTGGCTTCTATTATAGGAAATGTTGGCCTGCTGACCTGGAAAGTTTATAGGGCTCAATTAATACCTTTTTCTCCAACTCAAATCATTTCTAACATGTGTCATTCATTCATTCATTCATTCGTTCATTCATTCAGCAAACCAGGGTCTATTATGTGCCCAGAATCTGTTCCAGCCACTGAGGAACAGAGTAGTGAACAAGACAAAGTCCCTGCCCTCATGGAGTTTAAATTCTAGTGACAGAAGTTAGATGATAATTAAATAAATAATACTTATCTAGGCTCTTGTAATCATCACTGAACCCAAGCTAAACTCATCTAAAAATGTACACAAGCACTGCATGCCCTAGTCCCACACAGCAATGACTGAAAAGCCAGGCATCTCAAAAAAAGTACTAATCATCCTGCATAAATATATACATATGGAGGTCTCAACAAAAAAAATATTCAATTGCAGATTTAAAAAACAAAAGCAGCAGCAATAAAATATGCAATAAAAAGTACAAATTTAGAGGATCAAATAAAACTCAAGTGGTAACTCCTATTGACATATATCTAAAGGCTATTAGTTCTCCAAATGCCAAGGGCATGGCCAACTGTTTTTGGATAGTCCTCACTTCTCTTTTGACAATGGAGCTGTGAAATCACAGAAAGACAAAGCTTCTGAGAACAATGCACCACTAGAGGTCCACCTAACATAGTCAATATACAGAGATAGCTTTAATCAGAAGACTGGTTATAGAACCGTGAGAGGTACAGCTGAATTAAGTGACATTGCCCCAAAGCTGGAGGGTTAACCTGAGGGTTAATGGCATATAAAAGCTGGTGCAAGATTTACTTTCTATCCACCTCTCTAATTTTATATAAGTCTCTCCACCACCCTTGCTCATCCTGGCTTTCGAGTTACTCAAAATAAGACAAACTCTTTCTCACTTGAGGACCTTTGCAATGTTGCTCTCTCTGCCTGGACTGTTTACCACGGCCTGTCTCTCTCGCCCTCCCAGCATGATGGCTCCTCCTCAGCATGTCTACTTCCTCAGAGAGACTCTCTCTGACTTCTCCATTAAAACTAACTCCTTTCTTGTTTTCCCATTCATAGCAATCTATTCTTTTTTTCCCTTTCAAAGCACTTTTCAAAATCTACTTATTTACTTACTTGCTTGTTTTCTGTCTCTACCACTAGTCTGTAAGCTCCATGAAGGCAGAATCTTACTATCTTATTCACTACCTCCAATACATCTAGCACAGCACCTGGCATATAGTAGGTGATGCTCAATAAATACTTGTGGGATTCATGTATGCTTCGTATACATGTATATTCATGTATATTGTGGGATTCACGTTTAGTATGTCGAGGTCACCAAAAACAAGGAAAGGCTGAAAAACCACACAGTCAAGAGGAGCTTAAGGAGACACAACAATTAAATGAAACGAAAAAGGACATCAGGAAAAAACTAAGGAAATCTGAATAAACTAGGGACTTAGTTAATAATAACATACCAATATTGTTCATTAATTATAACAAATGCTCCATTCTAATGACACATGTTAATGATAGGGGAAATCGTGTGCAGGGTGGGAAGATATATAACTTTGTACCATTTGCTCAATTTTCTGTAAATCTACAACTATTCTAAAAAATAGTCTATTAAAAAAAATCTCCTGGTCAATGAAAGACTATTGTGTACCACCAACAATATGAGAGTCCAAAGACATTCTTTAAAAACCAAGATTGAGTTAAAATTAATTTTGAAATTTCTGAAAGTAATTTTGCCACTTGAATATTAATCATTTAAACCATCTCAACTGAAGAAAATAACCAGAGATTTGGCCACAGTCACAGTCACTCTAGGAAAAGACTGATATAAAGAAGCCAGATATATTTAGTTAAAGGGTTTTCATGAGCATTGAGGTATAAACTAAAGAAAAGGTTTTGATCAGAGTTCATCAAGCCAGAAGGGGAATTTGGTTTTTGAGATAATTACCCTAACTTCCTCACAGAAGATAGGCTGTTGTCAATCGCAGAATGCTTTGGGGTGGGATGAGGGGACATTGCTGTTTCGACCACTTAAAAAAAAAATCGATACAATGTCCTTTGTGTTTTTATTCTGTGGAATGACTGGGTAATTACATAGGGGGAAGGAAGAAGCCCTGGATGGCTTACATTCATTATCCATGCTAAAGGAAATGAAAAGTGGGGGTGAGGAGAGTGATACTGACAGCAGAGAACGCAGGTAATTCAAATCTGCCAATAATACCCATATTTCATTTCAGCCAATTGTTTCAACTTGTTTTCTACCAATTTTTTCCTCAAAATAAATGGCAAAAAGTAATAACTTGATGATTAACTTCTGCTTTAATTTGACCCTGTGCTGAAGTTCTAATGAACAATAAAATGGGCCAATAGGTTAACCAGATAAAGGAGGAAAAATGAATTTAGATATTTGCCCATACAGGTTCTCAATTATGGGACAGTTGATATTGATACCATAACTTTAATATTGAAAATCATAAACATTGCATTCATGCTCTGGGGTGAGACTGCCAGCTTACCTCCTGACTTAATTATTTACTAACTCTGTGACTTTGGACAAGTTACCTCGCTTTTCTATGTCTTACGCTCCCCATCTGTAAAATGGGATTAATAATAGTACTCCCCTCATAGATGTGTTGTCAAGGTTACATGAGTAACACTCATCTATTACTTAAAACAATGCTAAGAACATAGTAAGCACTTAATAAACACCAGCAATGATCATTATTAGCAAAATGGGGGAAACTAGGTGAATCAATCAAAACAGAAAAATGTACTAACAGACAAGTTAGGATAGTGGTTAATGAAGTTTAAGGATATTTTCATGACCCTTTTAAATCAATGGGTCCTGAAAGACCCCAAAAAGGTGATTCCTCTTGTTTTACAAGGAAGGAGAAGAGAGCACAGCTATCAGGTTCCTCAAACTCAAGAGAGAACTACAGAGGAGTGGTGGTTCTACACCTTGGAAGAGGGTTATTAATATAAAAGAAGAGACACGACCTAGGTGTAGTCATTAGGGATATATCTGTTTAGGAGGGACTTGGCTACTAGATTTGCCTGTAGTTGGACCCAAAAGGCTTACCAACCTAGAGAAACACTTTATAAAAATGAAAGGAGGTAGGGGCCAGCCCAGTGGCACAGCGATTAAGTGTGGGCGCTCTGCTTTGGCGGTCCGGGGTTTGCAGGTTCGGATCCTGGGTGCGCACCGACGCACGGCTTGTCAAGCCATGCTGTGGCGGCGCCCCATAGAAAGTAGAGGAAGATGGGCACGGATGTTAGCCCATGGCCAATCTTCCTCAGCAAAAAAGAAGAGTATTGGCATCGGATGTTAGCTCAGGGCTTATCTTCCTCACACACAAAAAAATAAAAAAATGAAAGGAGGTACAGGAGAAGACAGGCAAAGTATGCTCTTCAGTTTTTTCCCTCCTGGTTTGTTCCCATTTTAGAAAGAAGGGGGAGGGGACAAAGAAAAAAAACAAGGGAAAATAAATAAAAAGAGGAGACTCAGTAAACAATAGGAGGTAAATGTAGCTCAGAGCAAGGTCTTAGGAATGTAGAGACCAGTTCTATTTCCAATGGACCAAGCAGAAGTAGTTCTCAATCATTTAACTGAAAAAGGTAAAACTGAAAATCAAAATATTTTGTCTCATATAATCTACATCAAAACATTTTTTCATCACCAAGGTTCATATCTTAAGAGTACCTCAGACCAGTTTTTGCTGTCCCACCCTCACCCCTCTAGCACCCATTTTATAAGGAATAAAATTTAAAAGCTAAGAGAAATCAGGAGAAAGGAGGCAGATGAGACACCAGGTATATGGACATTAATTCCCAATCTGGAGCAATGACAAATTGCCTGCATTGTATTTGCAAGGGTAGGGAATTAATTCCATAGTGTCTTTTGAGTTTCTTTGTCTTGATTCCTAATAGTCCTGTAATAATTCTAACCTTTTAGAGGAAGAAGTCAGGAAGGCAGAGATAGAGTTCAAGCTTTAATGCTATGCTTTTCATCATGAAATAGAAACAAGACTGAAATTTTTGAGCAAGAAAAATACTCTCACCAAGAAGTAGTAAATGGGGGTGGAGGTATGACCACAGCAGGAAGCAGCACACATCTCACAAAGCAGCACTCATCTCACATTCCACTCTATTTGGACCTCACATAACAGAAGTCAGCAAAGTTCTATCCCATGGAGTCTTCTGCTCATTTATAGGACAAAACGCCACTGAGACTAGAACAAAATCAGACAGGTTTTCTGGACACCAACATGCAAAAGGGAAGGCTTCAATTTTACCAAGCATTTCACAGTCAAAGGCTGAACTACTTAAGAACCACACTCCTAGGTTCTGGTTTGCCTAACACAAAAAGCATGCACAAATGCAGATATCACCCCCTTCTATTTTAGAAGACAGAGCTCCTGTATTACCCAATTTGTCTGGAGATACAGGTAGATTAAAAACAAAAAACAATAATATAATTAAAAAAACACACACAACCATGCCTATTTACCTTGAATGGGATAAGAATAATGTGCTGGGCTTGGCTGGCTTGTGGTTAACCCTGTAGTGCAGGTAAGAACACTGTGTTGACTTGGAGATGGAGTCTGAATTAAACCACTTTCAGGTTTCATACCTGGCCACAATGCACCTGAATCAGATAAATTGGACCAATTACAAACAACACACTGGGACTGAGAAGCATGGTTATGCTTTTAAATATCAGCCAGTACGTTTAAAATCTAAATCTTAAAACAAAAATAAATTTGCTTGCAAGAGAAAATTATTGATTCTCCCACTCGTAATACACCACAAGCAAATACAATTTCAAAGAATTGAGGAGTGGAGTCATAGAAACAAAAATCTTGTCAAAAACTCCAATAGTGATATGTATATAAGTTCATTTCAATGGCTGGGGGAAATCGACCAGGGTTCAGAAAAAGAGCTACTGACACCCAACAGGAGTATCTGTTATAAAGAGTGCTTGATGTTCACGTACAGTGATAAATCATTTATCCACGTTGTCAAGGTGGGAGACATTCCACGTAAGTTTAAAATTCACTTACCCATTAACAAGCACCAAATTTTTCTAAAATGTATTAAATACTTCTCTGCCTTCTTAAGCTGGTTATTTTGTTACCTTTGTTTCTTCCGATTAGGAAAGACATACCTGCTTATTTTTATAAATTAAAAACATTATAGAAATATGTAACTTAGAATAAAGTCACATACAATCCCATCATCCAGACTTAACCACTATTAGCAGTGTGCAGAAGAGTCACTCAGATTTCTTCTATGTATTTACTAATCTTTTTTCTTCTTTTTAATAAAAATGGGATTTATACATACTGTTCATAATTTGCTTTTCCACATACCTCTGAGAGACATCTTTCCATCTCAGAACGTATAAATCTATCTTATACGGATAGACATCATAGCTGTTCATTTTTATTTTATTTTTATCACGATGCTCCTGAGTGACAATCTTTCTAAAATATATTTATATCCTTTCCTTCCTTCTTAGGCAGGGAGGAAACAGTGAACATACCTTTAGATTTTCTCAGAATTATTGTTACAAATATCAATACTGTGCTGTGCTATACATATTACAGAGACATCCCAGAAGCTACTGTGATATGTGAAGACATTTCCTTAGTACTAAATAGAACCCAATTATAGTTCTATGATTTTTAGGTTCTTATATCACTTTGTCTTTTTTCTGTGATCTGTCACTTCTTGACAATCTCCTGTCTCTGGCTGTATCTCCCTTTTCATTTGCAGTAAACTAGGAAACATAAACAAAGCTTTGCTTCTACATGAGAGCCTAAAGAGGTCTTTTATGAGTGAAGAGTTTCTGTGATAATTTTGGCTATGCAAAAGTCTATTTATAAAAGGCCTTACTGCCTGGCTGTTCACCGGATTCTGAATAGTTATGAGTGCTGGATCAGTGTAGCTGAAGCTGCTAATTACATCCAAGACAGTTCATTAATCAAACACATTCCCGGTAAGAAATTAATACCAAGGCCAGCATAGTTTCAAATTCAACATTAACTCAGTTCATCTATTCCTAATCTGGTAAGGAATTTACAGAAATATAATGCTTTGATAATAAGAACCTCTGCTTCACCAGGGCATTGGGATATCTTAGTCCAACTCAGATCTGTAAAATCTGTTAATCAGTAAATATAAGAATAGTAAAGGGAAATGTGAAAATCTTAAAAGGTTGACAATGGGATATGGTAATTGCCTTGCCCCAAACTCTCAAAGCATAAAAAAAACCAAGTCATATTCTTTTCTCCCTATTAAACACATGAAATAACTTATTTGAGGAGACTGAGGAATATCAACATCTCTAGTATGAATTAGGAGAGTCGCCCCCCGCCCCTTACTTCATGATCATTTAAAAAGTCTTGTCCAGGTTAGCCACAGCTAAAGTCCTTGCAATACCTGATTTTCAACAATAAAAATATTTGAGAATGATATTTTTTAGACATTTATGAAGTGAAATTTGAATATTAGTGCCATGATTCCTGGTGGCTGAGTATCACACTTTTTAGTAAATGAACTGCCAATTCAATGTCACAATAACTTTCATATTTACTGTAATCAACGCTATTTTTTTCTAAATAGGTTCTGAACCTGAGGTGTTGGATTTGTGAACATGTTTATTATTACACTGTACTGAAATACTATCTTATTAATAAGAATAGTATTAACTGAGAATGTTTTGCTAGTCTCATTATTTAGTATATTTTCTTAAAGTTTCAAAATGTAAAATGTCTATGAACTGGCCCTTCTTATAAGGTAAAAAATTAGGGCAAAATGTCTAAGACAGTAGCAGAATAGCTACTTTTGAATGTTTTTGGCTAGAAATATGAAGTAGTTATTTAATATATAATTATTTTATGAAGAATAGAGGAATCAAAGACAATATGGACACTGCCTCTAGCATCACTGTAGCCCTGCTTTTTAAGCATATAAATATCTTCCTTTAAAAGAATCCTTTCCAGAATTCAAGTAATAGGTAACATGACCAAATGGTTTGACCGTAGAGCACTATTGCCTATAGCCAAGACGAAACCAAATCCTGATTTCCCTGACGCCTAGTCCACTGCTCTATGCCTACAACTACAAAGCTTCTCAACTCGTTTTAAGCACCAAGAGCCTGATGTGGAGCAACAGCTGGTCTAACAATGGCAAAGAAGTCTGTCTCTGAGTGCTATCCTCCTGCTGCCCCACACTGGGGTCTTATCACAAACTACCCAAGTTTCTCAGCACAAATACTTCATTATTGGTTAGTCACTAACCAAGCTAATCTGAGTAGTTCAGTTTATAGTAATACATATCAGAGTAGTGGATCTTCAGAGAAGATTAATTTGGTTAGCAACTGAAGTACGTCAGGGCTAGAAAAAAAGACATGAAAGGATATCTTGGCTTGTTGATTCAGTAGGTCACTGGGATGAGCTATTATAAATTCTAAGGAATTTAATCTGAGTACTTTTCCTAATTATAAAATAAGTAGATATATATTTAGAAAATTAGGAAAATATAGAAAAGGTAAAGAAAAAAAATCACATAGTCTTACCACACAGAAAAATAATACATGCACTCCTTGCTTTTGCATGGGATTGTGTTAACTGAAACCTGTGCATATTGGAACTGTGTCTTTGCTTTGCATGGTTCCAGGGTAACTGAGACCAAATCTGTAGTGCCTATACTCTTAACATACACAATTTTTCTTCCAAATTATTGTTCATGCACATATTTTTAAAAAATACTAACTTGGTATATTATATTGTATTTTCAGTTTTACATACTGCTTTCTTCAATAAATAATAAACTGTTTTCTTAAGATGCTAAATATTCTTTATGAACATGATTTATTATAATGGCTATATAGTTTTCCATTCTATGGATACACTGCAATTTAACACATACCTTTCAATTCACTATGTAGGTTGTTTCTAATCTTTTACTATTATAAATAATGCTGTGATGAGTATCTCGATTAGTAAATCTTTTTGTGGGTATCTCCAATCAGTTCCATAGAATAAATTCCTAGAATTGAAATTACTGAGAGAAATAGCATGAACATCCTTAAGGCTCTTGATACATATTGTCAAATTTCCATCTCACATTAAAGTTCTTTTAAAAGAAGGTAGAACAGTGGCAGCTAAGGCAACCTTTTATGAGCCCCTAAAAATAAATGAGTACCCTTTTCCTCACAGACCACTGGAAGTTAAACCTCTAATCCTTTTTCTGCCATTCCACCACATTCTCGACAGTCTGAAAAGAATATGACCACTACTCCTTTACTGTTAAAGAGCACTCATAATATAGGCTTCCTAGATTTCCTCTAGTCTTTTCTCCTTTCTTCAAGAGGAGGAAACTTTTAAATTTCAAACTCAACTCTGAGACTATCTTTTCACAAAGACCTAAACTTATGACCATTTCTGGAATTAAATAGATCTGGGTTCAATCTAATCTCAGGTATTTACTAACTGTATGACCTCATGACCTCAAGCTAGTCCCCCAATCCTTCTAAATCTGTTTCCTCATCTATTAAAAGGGAAAATGCTATGACTTACTTAATTCTCAGAACAGTCCTAAGAAGTAAGACAATACTGTAAAGCATGAAGTACTCATTCTTAGCATACTTTTTGGTATAGTAAGCACTCAATAAATATTAGATAATATTATTATAATGAAATTTTCTGAAGCCCTGTTTACATCTGAAATAAAATAACAGACTAGCTAATCTAGTTTTACTGCTAATAGGCACTAAGACTACCAAAATCTTCACAAGAAGAAAGAAATGAAGTGTTTTATATTTGAGTGAGCACATTAAAAAAAAGCCACATGTTAAAACATAAGATGTCTTTAAAAAATAGTCACTTTAAAGAATATTACAAACATCTCTTTATAATTTCTTTTATAAATTTTGAGAATATTCCATATCTATCATTCATATTACCCCAACCTAAATCTTTCTCCATAAGTCTCATATTACTTAATGCTCAAATTAAGCTATTGATTATCTCTCTCTGAATTACTGACAGAAGAATTTATGAAACAAGTCTCCCTCACCTCCAAATATTAAACAAAAACAGATTAATAAAAGAGCCTGTTATTATCAATATTTCTTCACAATATAAACAATGTTTCCTTCAAGTTTTTAACAGGGATCTATCTGTTTTACAGAATTTTCTTTCTTTCTTTAATACAAGGGAAATGCATAATACCTAGGACCTAAATGCACATGGCACTATGTTAAGTATTCAATAATCTAGTTCAGAAATATAATAGGAGTTTTATTTAACACTAAACAGCAGGAATGATCAACTGTTCAACAATGTCATAAACAGCTTTGGGCTTGCTAGTAATGAATTTAAATCAAAACAGAGGGTAAAAAAAAACAGTATGACAATACTTACTTTATACTTGCTAGCCTATTACTAGTCGGCTGCTGAAAAATTAACTTTAATGTACACAAAAAGAAATAAACACAGAGAGTTCTGCTTCCAAAAGGACTGCTGAGTCTTGGCTGGTTAAATACACCACAAACGTAAGATTTTAGTATACTGGCTGATAATGACAGGCATGAAGGCACAGACATACAAACGAGAAACATGAGCATTTCTGTTTCTCTTCTCTCATGAAGTTATCACCTACCACTATCATTAAACATAACCCCCAATTTTTGTTCCTAGTAGTTATCAGGAGCTAAAGAATGCTAAAAGCCTAAAAGTAAGAAAGCTATAACTATTATAAAAGACTAGCCAAATGGGCAAGGAAAAGTAGGAATGTAGCCAAAAGCAGGTAACACTAATACATCCAGAATCTGTGGTGATCTGTTTAGAAGATTTTTCTAATTCCCAGCTAGTTTCAGTAAAGGCTACAGAGATATAATTTTATTAACATATTGCATATTTCAAAATAATACAGTATTGTCTCAATTTTCTGACACCAGTTCTAGGGAAGGGGCAAAAAGCACATTGCATATATCTATCAATTAACAAACAGAGAGAAAAACCAGCATAGATATTAAGTGCCCAAAAGAATCTCAAACTGACTTCTAATAAATCCTTCTAATTTACAGTTCATGTCCAGGATACCTAAAACCAAAGAACCAAACTCTCTATGCACATGATAAGGTCCTACAAAATTGGAGATTTCCCCCATTCTAAGATGACTTCTTGGTTCAGCAGAGCAACAGTTGATCAATTTGGGGCAAGGGGGAGGAAAGAGAAAGAGAGAAATTGACAAAAAAAAAAAAAGAGAGTAAACTATAAGGTATAATCTACCTGGATATTTAGATTACCTGATTTTAGCAAGAAATTGGCCACCTCAAAATGTATTTATTATGCTTACCTAACCATGGTACCGTGTTTTGTATAAAAAAGTAAAATCAACAGTAATTCCTCAAAGAGTTTTCTAAACACTTAAAGATTCCAAGCTTTACAGTCAAGACTCAGTACCCTGGAAACAGCTGAGTTTTGGTAGATAAACAAACGAGTATTGAAAAGTTATGATTTTATATTACATGCATCAAATATACTATTGGAAAGTTGCATACCCAACTTCCATCACACCTGTAACTGAGTAAGTGCTCTGCAAAGAACGATCCATCTCTCAGCTTCCTGATCAGCCATGCTTGCTTTTTGCGGAAAGATGGAAGTTTCTGGGGGATAAAATCAACACTATTAGAAACTGCTTATAATAGGATACCTTACCAAAAGGAGGTAGTCCATATGTTTGGGTTGCCTGAGGGTAGACAGCATAGGGTTGAGACTGCTGTAGCGTCTGGTACTGAGTCTGTCCAGGGTAAGCAGTTTCCGAAACAGGAACTGAGAGGATATGTGCATAAGGTCTAGAAAAGTTCAAGAAAACAAAAACTTTCATGAGTGATTTATTTTAGTAATGAAAAAGAGGGCAAATAGCTAATACCACTAAAAGCAAAGAATCAGCAATGAGGAGACTAACTTTCCACATTAAATGTCTCTTACTGTGGTCAGAAAGTAGAACTAATTTTTCCTTTCCTGGTTCTACTATCACCAACCTAAGAAACAATTTTATGGAAAATCTAATAGTTTCCAAATATCCTCCCAAGGTCTAAATACTATGCTACAAACAACTGCGGTTGCTACATGCAAGGCCCTATGTGAGATACAAGGATGGATTAAACTTGTTTACGTCCTTGTGTCTACATATAGAATAAAACTCTAAAATAACAGAAAACTGGAAAGAACAAGAATCTCAATTAGCTCTCATTCTCCACCTAGCCCTCTGGGCCAAACTAAAGTTATGAGAGGAAGAGAGGGACTTTGAAAAGAGGGTGAGGCTGGCAGAGAAAAGGCAAGCAATCACATTAGAAAACGGGGAGTAGGGGTGGGCCCCAATGTTGCCAGATCAAGCCTATAAAACAGGAGCCAGGTAACTAATAAAATCTGGGAAGTCTCAGACAGGACTCAGAATCTCCCCACTGATATTTAAGCCAGAGTATACAGCCACTAGTTGATGCTAACCACATCAGGTTTAGCTAGGGATTTGAATTCAGCAGTGAAACTTCTGGGACTTAAGACTAGCTAGATGACCTGGTCTTTCCATTCATGCAATAAGATGGTCCCACATTTTATGCACTGAATTTTTAGATACTGGTTATTTTATCTGGTGAGTTATGCTGTACTTATAATGCAAGAAAGTAAGTGTTATATGTACCATATGAGTCATAACAATAAAATACTGAGAGGAAGGGGTGTTTCAGAAGGGGAAAAGATTTTTTTCAGCTTTGAGGAAGAGGAAAATGAAGGAAGGCTATAAAAAAGTGATACGTGAGCTGAGCAGATAGGATGTGCAGAAATGAGAAAGGGTATTCTAAGAAAAGAGAAAAACTCTAGCAAAGGTACGAAGGAAGGAACGCAAGAGCTTCAGCCTGCAAGGAACATAGATTATATTAAGGGAAGTATATAAAGGGAAGGAAGTAGCAAGAGAAAGAAAGATAGATAGCAAAGACCTTGAATACCAAGCTAAAAGAGTTCAGAACAACTGGGAGTCAATGCAATTGTTGAGCAAAGAGTGACAAGATCAGAGCTGTTCTTTAATAAAGATTAATGTGACATTGCTTTGTAAAATGGATTAGGAGGAGGAGAAACTGGAAATAGAGGTCCAGCTAAAAAAGTTATATTATAATGGTTCAGATAAGTGGAAAGGAGGTCTGAATTAAGATAGAAGGCATGGCTAATAACAAGTCCTGAATGTAGCAGGTATGCAAATATTTTTTGAATGAATTTGGAATATGCAACATATTCATATCTCAGTAGATTCTAAGAGACTGAATTTGAAAATTTTTATTCTTCTTAGCCAGATATGAGACCAGGAAATAGCTCAGGTTGTAGTTGTTAATCAAGTCTTTTGGGAATGATTTAAAATCTCAGTGATTTCAAATAGATTAATCTTGAGATATGTTAAAGATCATAATATCCTTTTATATATAGTGTCTTTATAGCTCAAAGTATTTTCTTATCTCCTTTATAACGATCTCAGGGAACACTCATTTCGCAGAAGAGGAAAACCACATGAAAATGACTGGCTCAAGAATGCTCTTAGTGTTAATACCAGATTAGAATCTGGAGAACTCATTGAGTTGACTTTTTAATTAGTTTATTTTATTTTTATTTATTTATTTGATTAGGAAGAATGGCCCTGAGCTAACATCTGTGCCCATCTTCCTCTTTTTGCTGAGAAAGATTGGCTCTGAGCTAACATCTGTGCCAATCTTCCTCTATTTTGTACGTGGGACGCCGTCACAGCATAGCTTGATGAGCGGTGCATCAGTCCATGCCTGGCATTCGAACCTGCGAACCCTGGGCCGTCGAAGCTGAGTGCGCGAACTTAACCACTATGCCACCGGGCCAGCCCAGTTTATTTTTTAATTAGTGCAAAATTCAAAAGGTAAAAATGGGCACAAGAAGGGAAAAAAATATCAGTTTTCTTTTTATAATAGGCCCATAGGTATCACTCACCTCTGTTACCAATTTCTTTATGTATCCTCCATATGTAAGCACATAAGAATATACCCTAGTTTAATAAGTACACTTGTATGTATCTATGTATGTGTAGGCTCCCTGTTTATCAATGCACAATTGGTAGCTTGGTATACACACTGTTCTGTACCTACTCATCTTGAAGATGATTAATTTGGTTGATCTTAAATGCTGATCTTACCCCATGAAGGCCCAAAATGTTGCCTCTTAGTGACTTCAACCCGTTAAACCTGTCTAACTTCAAGCCCCATTCTACTTTGAGGACATTCCTAAAACAAGACACTGAACATATATTAGGCTGAGAAATCCCAGTCTGAGGCTGGCTTGAGCTGTTTTCATTGATCTGTCTATCAAGGTAGAGGAAAGACAGAATGATCAGAAGTCAATCAGTGACATGCTTCCATCACCAGAAGTATTTTTAATTTTTAGTGTCTGTTCATTTAAAGCGAGCTCCTAGGTAACAGTGATCTATTCCAGGCAACCATCTACTTTGTAAAAGGATGTTACATTACACAGACTACATTTAGAGGGAATAAAAAAATTGGAAAAGGGACAGAGAGAACAAGAAAGGTGGAAATAAGTTAAATGTCAACTTAATAAGTTAAATATTAAGTTAAAATTTGCAATGAACCTAGAGAAAAAGCATATAGATTTTTGAAATAATTATTCAACTTACTTTGCAGAATACATTTGTGAGGTATAATCATTGGATGAGCGAGGGATGTAATCGGTGCATGTCATAACTGAAAGAAAGATATCACCAGGTAAAAAAGTTAAAACATTTCAAAAATGAAATGAGAAAATTGCATATCTCACTCTATAGTCTTTCAAACTAAATAACAGAATACAGCTTGGACATCAGAAATTTAGAAAGACTACATAGGAGAAAATACCTCACTCTTCTAATAACAGGTTTAGAGACAGTAAAAAAAGCTAGAATGTGCGGGGTATGGAAAAGAGCTGAGGATTGGTACCAACTGACCTCTATTTTCACCTATCACTGATCTAAAACCATAGATGAAGCAACCTCCTAAGCTCTCAGCTATGCTCATAGGCAAACTTAAAAAACCAAGGTCCATATGTGGTAAACCACATTATATTTCTTCAGCTTATTCATTCTGTGGGTTCTTACTCCATTCTGAGTAAAACACCATTAGAATGACTTGCAGGAAGACAGATTTGGGGAAAGTATCCAATTTTATTAGAAAACTGTTGCTACCACTGTCTATAATCAGCAGAGAAATGATGCAAGTATGCTTCTATACTACCCTTTTTTCAGCTTTGTAGTAAAGGCTTTAGGTTTGGCAAAGCAGAGACAGACCTGAGGAACCAATATGATGCTCTGATGAACCATCAAGTAAAGAGACTTTCACAGCTAGTGTCCTCTTGACCCCAATGACTTCATCTAGAATAGCTGTTGTGAAAGCTTGACCCTAATGACTTCATCTGTGATAAAGGCTGTAAATATTCAACTCAAGTGTGACAGACAGCAGAATCCTATTCATTAGGCACTATTTCAGTCCATGTTGTAGACAGAGTTACATCATAAAGAACTTGTACCAGACTCCTGAACTGTTCAAGAACTTCCTTCAACATCTATAAAGGAGGTTACTCTATCATGAATAGAGACTAAGGGTGAACCAACTAACTTTATGTCTAGCTGGGTTCCCTGAGTGTCTGACCCAAAAATGGAACTCTGGTTAAGAGCAGATGAGGGGCAAATTCATGCCCAACAGTAAGACAAATTGACATCTGTGAGTCTATCATAGAAGATCTTATTCATTGCCATTGTTCAAGATCTCTGAAAATAATTACTGGAAATTTGTAGATCACATTCATCCATAATCATTTTGACAAAAATGAAGGAGATCTCAACTAGATCTAAAGTTCATACCATCCATCACATAGAATGTGTTCATTTGAATTCTGCATGATGGTTCCTTCTCTGCTGACAAGTACTTAAAAAAACCCAAACCCTTCTCCTCCTCTGATTTAATTTAATTCTGAAGAGATTGACAGAATATCCTGGGAGAGTTAGGCCAATTTTTACATGAGAATAAATGATCTTTGCAGTAATTGGGAACCATGTAAGGATTATAAAGTCAAGGCATAGTCTGCTGTTACATCAGAGTAGCAGCAGTGGAGATGAGGCAAAACCTTGAAATATATTCTGAAGGTAAAACTAATATGACATTCTGATGGATGTGTACATAAGGAATGAGGAAAACAGGGGAATACAGGATAATTTCTAGGTTTTCAGCTTGAGCAACTGGAGGGATAGTGAAATCACTTCCTAAGATGGGGAAGTTTGGGGAAAGAATAGATTTGATGGGGGTTAAGCGAACAAAAAGCTTTCACACATTTTAAGTATGACTTTCCTTTTAGATATGTAAGTGGGGATGTCAAACAGGCAGTTAGATACACAAACAAAATCAGGGGAGAAGTCAGACTGGAAATATAAACTTGGAATTCATTAACAATGTATAAAATATTTAAAGTGATGCAACAGGTGAGAAAATGCAGAAAGAGAAAAGATGGCAGACTACAAACAAATCCTGAGGCCCACCAACATTCAGAGTTCAGATAGAGGAAGAAGGGCCAGCAAAGGAGAAAGGTGGGAGGAAAAGTGGCAAGAGGCAGGATATCAGGAGAGAGAAATGTCCACCAGAATTAGTACTTTCGGTTTCTGAAAGTAACTGACGACCTTGACAAAAGCAATTTCACTGGAAGAGTGGTGATGGAAGCTAAATTTGAGAGGGCCGAAGAGTGAATGGGAGGTGAGAAACCAAGTGAGGGTAACTTTCCAGAGGTTCCAAAAGGTCATGGAACAAAGAGAAGGTCTATAAATAGTGGAGGATGTGGAGCCAAAGGAGGGTTTTGTTTGTGTTTTAAGATGGTATTGCATCATGTCTCTTTACTGACAGGAAAGATTAAGAAGAGAAGAAGAGGGCCGGCCTGGTGGCGTAGCGGTTAAGTTCGCACGTTCCACTTTGGTGGCCCGGGGTTCGCCAGTTCAGATCATGGGCACGGACCGACTCACAGCTCATCGAGCTATGCTGAGGCAGCATCCCACATAGAAGAGCTACAACTCTACAACTATGTACTGAGGCTTTGGGGAGAGAAAAGAAAAAAAGAGGAACACTGGCAACAGATGTTAGCTCAGGGCCCATCTTCCTCAAAAAAAAAAAAAATAAATAAAATAAATAAATAATAAAAAGCTTACTGTGAAAACTTTGGGGAAAAAAAAAAGAAGAGAAGAACATGATGACACAGGAGTGGTGTTAAGATAACTATAGTACCAAAGTTCTTAGGGAAGGTGAGAAGGGATAGGATATGAAGCACAAATAAAAGGGCTTACCTTTGACAGGAGCAAGAATACTATTTCCATTCTGACAAGAACGAAGCAAGAAAACATGGATACAAACACAGGTAGGTTTGAAGATTTGGTGGTGGTGGGATGATAAGGGAGTTTCCTGTCTTGACAGCTTCTATCTGAGAAGGAGTCATCAGTCAAGAATAAGGAAAGGTGAGTGAGGATGGGTGCTTTGAGAGGAAAAGAAGTGGTATGAAATATTAAAAGGTAAAACTCATTAGGGAAATGCACAAGGATTTCCAAGCATATTGGGTGCCTTTTGAGGCCCTGTGAGTAAATGGTCAGCTGGGTATATAATTTATCCAATAACATTTAGCTATTTGAATGCACTTACAGAGAAAGTGGAGAGTTGGATTAAACTAGGACTGGAGCTTAGCAAGGAGAGTACAAGAGGCAAAGTTATTAAAGGCACTTGTAAGGGAGTAATTATAATAAAGAAACATAGAATCTATGCTGAGTAAGAAGGACCATGAAGATAAGAGGGATATGACGGGTATTGGATAGGTCATTTACATGGATGTTGAAATCACTAAGAATAATAAGAGTTTAGATGGAGAAGAAAACAAAGAAGATCTAGTCTTTAAAGAGCAAAATGACTAGGAGTTCAGTCTGAGGTAAAAAGAAAAGTGGAGGAGGCATAAATATAGATTTCAAAGGAACTAGAGTTTTTGAAGGAAAAAAGGGAAGAGAAATGATTTGGAAGGATTGACAAGACTCCACTTACTTCCTGGCCCCTAAAGTATGTAAAGAACAGGACTTTTTCTTGGGGATGAGTTGGACATTCAAAAAACTGGAGACACTTTTCATTGATTAGAGTAGTTTCTCACAGTATGGACAGTTTCCCATATGCATCAGAATCACCTAGCTATCTTTTTAAAAATGCAGATTCCCATCCACATCAGATCTACTGAACAATAATCTCTGAAGATGAGGCTGGACTTCCACATTACAGACAAGCACTCCAGATAATTCTTAGACATGCTACAAGTGTGATAACCACTGGAATAGTACCTTTGAGGAAATATATATAACTCAAGATATACCATTTTTTAAAAAAGTCATACCATTTTTTAATACACAGGAAGTATATAAGATTAAGCATAACCATCAAGAGAAGAAACAACAAATGTCTTTTTTTAGAGTGTCTTACACAAATTTATTCTTTTAAAGTGTGTGGTAAAATATGAAAAGCACAGCTACTTAATTTCAGGGAGGACGATTTGCCCTACGGAGGCAATTTGGGGGAGTAAGTGGGTATGCTAGAGAAAGCTTACATCTCTACAAGAAAAAAACAGAACTCTCTACAAATTTTGTCTAATGCATGAATATAACTCTTCTACAGGAGAGTAAGGGTTGATAAGTGGAGGTTGTATCTTACTGAGTTGGATCTCCCTCAGGGCCCAGTATCAATCCTGGGCTCTCAGGGGATTACTTTTCTTTTTTTGCCTAGATTGATAGGTAAAATCATTGGGTTATTAGAAAGGTGAAAAAATATCAAGTCCTCCTGGGCAGCAGTCAAAGGTTGGCTCACAAACTTTTCTTTCTGAGTAAGACACTATTACCTTTAGAACATCCAACCTCAAAACAAAAATAAAATCACCAAGTGTGACTCCTTGGGTGAGTAGATTCCACATGATTTTGTTCCTCATTTGGTATGTCAACAAAGCTTACAGGAGAGCAAAAGGATGAACACACACACACAAGGAAAGGAAAGTCTTCTGGATATTCTGGACAAAAAAGGCAATCAAGTGAAAACCAATTATAAAAGAATAGCATCACCTGGTTATAGGAATACCTCTTCTGTCATGCCTAGAATATGGTACTTACTTTCCTCTGACATGGTAAGGTTTGATGCAAGGCTTGAAGTTTCAGGTTTCTGATCACTGACTTCAGGGTTGCTTACTTGACTGGGAGAATCAAAACGAACACATTAGCCCCGATTGATCTGCTGCAGTGCTGAAAGTGATTAAATCAAACCCATTTCTTCCTAGGCTATACAAGTAAGAGGCATAGTAAGTCTTCTTCACGATATCTTTACTTTTGTTTTTTAGCAGCTACCTGAAGAGCTAGGGCCAGGGCTAGTACACTCAGCATTCTACTGTTCTTTCTCATATCCCTAGAGCCCTTCAGTTTTTATATCACTCAGGAAGTTCAGATAAGTCACAGGCAAGTCAGATTTTCTCTAAAGACCACGTGGTAAAAGAAAAATTCCACAACACCTGAAAACTGCTCTGTCACCTTGTTTCCCAAGTACCACAGGAAAGTAGGGAGATGCCTGATTTCAGACAGTGGTTCTCACAATCACTTGAGAAGTTTTTTCAAATTAAACACGCTTGCTTCCAAGAAAGCGTTCTGAACCTTAAAATGGTTCATTCCACTGTATTTCTCTTCTCCCCAGTTACAAAAAAAAATTTTTTTTTAATACCCAAGACTGAGCAACATCTTTTTTTTCAACTTATAAGGAAAATTAAGAGAAATTGTGAAAGGTAAATCACATAAGCTGGGAGGATAAGTCATTATGTTAGACATTTCAGTGTTGGGAAGATTCTCGCTGAAATTCCGGAATGGAGATTATACTCACTTTCATCCCTCACAATGTCCTCCTTCTTCCTTCTACCTTACTTTCCACTCTCCAGTTATTCCCTCAACTATCAGTATAGCATAGTAGTTAAGAGTAGAGACTCTAGAGCCAAACTGCTTGAGTTCATATGTCATCTGCCAAAACTAGCTTTATGACTTTAAGCAAGTTGCTGAGCTTCTCTGTGCTCCAGTTTCTTCAACTGTCAATGAAGGATAACAATAGAACCTACCTCATAGGGTTGGGTTGTTATAGCGATTAGGGTTGTTATAGGGATTAATTTGTTAATATATGAAAAGTATTTAGAGCAGAGACTAAAACAGAGTAAGTACAATATAACCACAGCTAGTATTATTATATTACAACTTCTCCCCAGCCCAGGCATCCTTCCCACATTCATGTTCCCTAGAAAGAAATACTACTTTGCTGTTCTACCCTCTAGGGAGAAATGGAAGACACTGTACCAGAGGCTCCATATATCTGGAAAGATAAGACTAACGAAAGGTAAGAGTAGTTTCTACACAATAGAATTTTAAAAAGAAATGTTACTTATATAAAAAATACACAGCACCAAAATTCTTAAAGCTCTCATATCTTTTCTGAACAGACCTCTAATATTTAAGTATAATGTCAATAAAGTTTTTTTTCCCTGGTATATTCTGAATGTTCAAACAATTTTTTCCACAAATGTAATTAATTTTTAAAGCTAAATCCCCAAATGAAGTTTATTTTTATCTAGTTACTCAAATGTCTGTAGTTTTAGAACAGCATTTAATGTACTAAGATGTGACTATGGGAATTGAAGGATAAGGGTAAGAAACCATACTGAGTAGTTATATCACTGTTTCCCAAATTGGTTTATTATTATAATTACCTGAAGACTGGTAAAAATACAGACTTCTGAGCCCCATCTCTTGCCTAATTAAATAGGATTCCAGAAGAAGGGTATAAAACCAGAGAAGAACTTCCCATTTCTGACTACGATGACTGGTTTGTCTTCTGTATGTACCTGGATAAGTCTGGGGTTCACTGTTATACCTGCTGTTGAAAGACTATTTCTCGATTCTGTATCTTAGAAGGTATATTTGTATGGTCTGGTATACAATGGACCAGTTCCTAAAATCCTGTAGTCCTGGACTCTTATGTTATAGCAGAACTCCCTACATATTCAACTGAGTGTCTAGAGATTATGTAGAGACAACAAGGCCAAGACAGTGAAATAACTCTAGCACTCTGTTAAATATTTAAAATGATTATATCTAGAAAAATTATATACTGTCTCAAAATATAATTATTTTCACAGTTATATAAATATAAATTTTACTTAACAATATGTACATGACGGGAAAAAATGTTCTAAAACAAAATCACCCTCTGCAAAAAAAGAGCAAAAACACCCAAACTCCAAATAGCGAGCATCCTGAATACCTCATTCTCATTCAATAGAACTCCTGTGAATAATCAACACAATAAACCGATGAAGGGATAAACAAAATGTGGAATAGATGTATGGTGGAATATTATTCAGTCTTAAAAAGGAAGGCAATTCTGACACATGCTACAACATGGATGAACCTTAAAGACATTATGCTAAGTGAAACAAGCCAGTCACAGAAAGACAAATACTGTAGCATTCCACTAATATGAGGTATTTAGAGTAGTCAAAATCATAGCAACAGAAAGTAGAACGGTGGTTGCCAAGAGCTGAGAGAAGGGGGAAAAGGAGAGTTATTGTTTAATGAATACAGAGTTTCAGTTTGGGAAGACGAAAAAAGTTCTGGAGATGGATGGTGGTGATGGTTGCACAACAACGTGAATGTACTCAATGCCACTGAATTATACACTTAAAAATGACTGAAATAATGAATTTTATGTTATGTATATTTTATCATAATAAAGAAGCTGCTGAAAGACAAAGGTGATAGGTGCCATAGTACAACTGGAGGGGTCAGCCTTAGATAAGTGTAGGCGAATTAACTTCAGAGGATAGGGTAGCAAAAAATACTGTAGAGAAGCAGATACGTGGGTAGATGTGGTGACAGACAAATGAGATAGTTCCTATCTAATTGTTTCTAATTTCTCTTTGAATTAGGGAGCAAGATCCTCAGCTGAGTGAATGGGAGTAGAGTGAAGTGGAGGAGAGGGGATGCGAAGAAGGCAGGAAGCAAGGAGGGAGGCAGGGAGGAAGGGAGGAAAGGAAAGACAGAAGAAAGATGATTTTAGAGACTAGGAAATAAAACACACCAGGAAGGGTGGTTGGACCACCAAGAGTGTTTAAGTGCCTGTTTGAGATGTACTCATGAATGGAAACTGAGATCAGTCAGCACAGTCTTTTGTTTTTCTCTCACAATGTTCAGGTGATTGAGAATAAGTATGAATAGATGGATAGCCAGGCTTAACCAGGGTTGTAGTTTTGCTAGGGAAGTATGACACAGGAGAAAATTAAGAATGTTTGTAATGGAATGCTTGTAATGGACTCATTAAAGTAATAGATCTTATAATTTAAGCAGCATAAGGAAGATACTGAAGTCTTTTTTGGGGGAAGAGTCAATGGTTGATCATGAAAATATGCTAGATCATTTAATTGAAAGTGTACAGTAAGGCATCATATGGCTAGTGTGGCAGTAGAATAAATGAGCTGGAATGGAGCGCGTGGTAGTAAAAGAGTAGGATTCTGGAAATTAAGATGTTAGAGATAATATAGTTACTGGTGCATACGGCTGTGGACAAATGATAGGAGGTAAGAACCACGGAAAATTGAAAACCATGGTGTTGTGGAAGCAAGAGCATGAGGTGCAAAGAAGCTACCTCTTGTCTATAAGGGGAGTGGAGCTAATGCCTAAGGCATCCCATATCCATTTGGTAATTCAAGCCAAATCTCTTGGATTTCCCTTATTTCTGCTTATTCTTCCTATTTTGTATACTGTACATCTGACTAAAGAATATTCACCATCGTGTCTCCTCCATATATCACAGGATCTGACAGATAAAGTGAGTTTAGTACATATTGTTGAATAAATAATGCATGAATAAGAAAAAAAATCAGGGCTCATGTGTTTCAAGGACAAACTTTTGAAGAGAAATTTTTATCTTGAACCAAATAATTTTAAAATGTAAGGACTGATGCTAAAAACTAAAGAGAGTCGTCAACCCAAATCAGCCCCATATACTAATCAGTATGTGAAGAAAATTATAAATAAATCATTAAAAGAAAGTCAAGTTTATATACCTTAAAGTTTGCTCTCCTGACTCTTGCATCTTGGCTTTTTTCACCTGCAAAAATAAATATATAAAGGCATCAATGTAGTGATCTGTTTTTGAAATCATCTAGCTAATCAAATGGCAGGCTAATCTTAACTAATAAATTACAGGGTGACTGTTTCATTTTATTTTGCTTAGATTTATTTAATTAACCCTTGTTTTATTTTAGAGTTAGAGATGGATTTCTTTGTTTTTCACATGGATTTGTTTCCTTTTTTTTTAACTGAAAAAAGTGTTTTTCAGATTCAAGGTAAAATGTTTACCAGAGAAAGTATCCAAACTTGGGTACAAATTAGTTGGTTTTAAATTTTAACAGACATATAATTATATAATCAAACAATCAGTATGGCAATCTTGCTATCATCTACTGATTTATTTAACAGAAATGTCTTCATACTTAAATTACCTGTATGCCAAAAATAAAGATAAATTCTTATCAGATTACCAGTAATTTTTTTTTTTTGTGAGGAAGATCAGCGCTGTGCTAACATCTGCCAATCCTCCTCTTTTTTGGCTGAGGAAGACTGGCCCTGGGCTAACATCTGTGCCCATCTTCCTCTACTTTATATGGGATGCCGCCACGGCAGGGCTTGCCAGGCGCTGCGGGATCTGAACCGGCAAACCCCGGGCCACCTCAGCGGAGCGAGTGTACTTACTTAACCACTTGCGCCACCGGGCCGGCCCCAGGTTACCAGTAATTTAAAAAATATTCTTCACACTCTTCTGGTCTTTTTCCATACTTTTATTTTTTCTAAGAAAATTCCTTCTTCTGTATGATAAAAGATACCATAAACCAACGAGGCAGTCAAGGGATCCCAGAATGATATGTAAACTGTGACAAAAGAATTAAACTGTATTATAAATGTATGACATAACCTCACTGAAAGAGGTGAGAGGAAAAGGAGCTGACTTAAGTAATGATGGAAAATGGTGTTCTGACTGAAAACTGCAAGGCTAAAGAAAAGAAAAACGCAAACTCTACTTTATCTATCTGCCATAATTTCAAAAATGACAAAATATAGGCTCTTGCTACAAAATTTACTGTCCTTCCCACCTGAAGATGACAGTATTTACATAAGATCAGATAGTAATGTAATTTTCCAATAATGGGGGTGAATTGCTGCTTAGTTCACCCAAAGACCCTCTTTGTGATCAAAGAGCTGGTTGGTTGAGTAACCAAAACAGTCTATAGTCTCCAAACAATAATCCATACAAAGAAAATTACAGCACTGAGGAATCTAATTTATCATAGTCTTAATTGTATTAGAGCCACAGAGTAACAAATGTAGCTACTGAACTCCCAAAAAAAGGTCCTGGAGCAAAACTTAAAATAAGGGCCTTTCAAGTAAGAACTATGCTTTTCCACTTTTTATTTATTACAGCGCTGACCCAGTAAAAAGAGTAAGTACTCAGAAACAGAAATGGAGAACATGTATCTAAAGTCATGTCTACCAAACTAAAAAGTCTGGGGGAGGAAAATGTTGTCAGCTGATTTTTTACCTTTCATGGTCCATTGTCCACCTTGATTGGGACAATTATATCCCCCCGTAAATCAAGGATAGGAAGCATGTGCTACCTTGGCACCAGAGGCAGGTAACCTAACTCAAAGGATACAGATTTCACTGGATTACAATAGGGTTCGAACAATACAATTTAGAAACTGACAGAACGTAAAATAGTGTAGCTACTTTGGAAAACAGTCTAGCAGTTCCTCAAAAGGTTAAATATAGAGTTAGGGGCTGCCCCATGGCTTAGCGGTTAAGTGCGCGCACTCCGCTACTGGCGGCCCGGGTTCAGATCCCGGGCGCGCACTGACACATCGCTTCTCCAGCCATGCTGAGTCCGAGTCCCACATACAGCAACTAGAAGGATGTGCAACTATGACATACAACTATCTACTGGGGCTTTGGAGAAAAAAAATAAAAAATAAAATAAATAAAAATAAATAAACCTTTAAAACATAGAGTTACCATATAATCCAGCAATTCCACTCCTATATAACCAAAAGAAATGAAAACATACATCCACACAAAATCTTGCATATGGGGGCCGGCCCAGTGGCATAGTGGTTAAATTCACGCGCTCTGCTTTGGCAGCCCAGGGTTCGCAGATTCAGATCTTGGGTGTGGACACGCACCGCTTATCAAACCATGCTGTGGCAGGCATCCCACATATCAAGTAGAGGAAGATAGGCACAGATGTTAGCCCAGGGCCAATGTTCCTCAGCAAAAAAAGAGGAAGATTGGCAATGGATGTTAGCTCAAGGCCAATCTGCATCACCAAAAAAAAAAACAAACAAAAAAACACCAAACTTGTCCATGAATGCTTATAACAGCATTATTAAAAATAGCCAAAAAATGGAAACAACTCAAGTGTCCATGAACAGATGAATGGATAAATAAAATAATGATAAATAAATAAAATGATAAATGTTAACTAAAATAAATCCACACAATGAAATATTACTCAGCAATAAAAGGGAATGAAGTACTAATACATGCTACAACATGGATGAACCTTGAAAAGATTATGCTGAGTGAAAGACACCAGTCACAAAGCACCGCATATTGTATGATTCCATTTACATGAAATGTCCACCAACAGGTAAATATTTAGACAGAAAGTAGATGAGTAGTTGCCTAGGGTTGGAAGGGATAGGAGAATTGGGGAGTGACTGCTTATTAGTATGAAGTTTCTTTTTGGAGTGATGAAAATGTTCTAAAACTGATTCTAGTGATGGCTGAAAAACTGTGAATATACTAAGAACTACTGAATTGTATATTTTAAAATGGGTATGTGAATTATGTCTCAATAAAGCTGTTACATAAAAAATGACATAATCTTATGGGCATGTTATCACTAAAGATAACATAAAAAGGAAGAATCACTGGCAGATTCATGAATCAGGGTTCTATTTGTGCCTCTGCTAAAAAATATAATCATGCTTTAAATATTAAACAGAGCAAAGTAATACAAATAACCCAGTACATGAATTCAGAATATCCTGGCTCAAGGCTCAGTTTTGAGAGTTAATTCACCATATGTCTTTACTTCTCTGCAGCTCCTTCCTCATCTGTAAAAGAAACACACAACTACCTACTTCACAGGGCTGCTGTGAAGATGAAATTTAAAGAGAAAGAGCTGCTTATGAAAGACAAAGCGCTATACAATCGTTAAAGTTTAGTTATCACCACTGACAGCAGGAACAAAGTTGAATCCCTAAAATATCAAGACAGGGTTAAGAAATACTACTTTCTAGATAAGAAAATTTATATTGTGCATCTCAAATGTCATTCCAGAATTATTCTGAGATGACTTCAAACATACAGTTTCGTTAGTGCCACTAGTCAATTCCGACTCCTAGTGACCCTGTGTCCCGCAGAGCGGAACCCTGCCCAATATTTTTGTGCCATCCTCTCACCTTCTGGCGCTATATCAGACAACGCTCCACTGCTATTCATAGGGTTTTCAAGGCCAATTTTTTCAGAAGTGGGTGGCCAGGTCCTTTTTCCTAGTCTGTCTTAGTCTGGAAGCTCCACTGAAACCTGTCCACCATGGGTGACCCTGCTGGTATTTGAAATACCAGTGGCATAGCTTTCAGTATCACAGCAACATGCAGCCGTCACAGTGTGACAACAGACAGGTGGGTGGTGTGGTTCCCTGACCAGGAAATGAACCTGGGATACTGTAGCGAGAGCACCAGATCTTAACCACTAGACCACCAGGGCTGGCTATACAATTATAGTGGCTTCTAAGTTTTAACAAGAGGCTAAATCATGCTAGTACTAGACAAACTGCAATCCTGGGAATAAAAAAACTAATAAAATCTGCATGGAGACTATGAAAAGGAAGAACATTTGTGTCAGAATTTATCCATCAGTGTCCAACAAAGAGAAGCATATCATTCTATTTTACTAGAAAGTCTACATTTTAGAGCAGGAAAAGGGCTTGATCATAACCTAGATGAAATTTCACACACAAAACTAATTAACACCATTTTCTTTATCATGCTTATGAACAGCCATCTAATTATTAATTTGACTTCCAGAACCTGACATAAGAAATTAGCACATAGAAAGTGAGAATAAGCATTCCAAATTACTAGACAGGTAAACACCTGTGGCAGAGACAACTGCCTGTTCCACCAGGGCATACTGGGTGTGACTTGTGATGGCCGGCAAAATATGTGATTTTTAAGTTCATAGGCTACCACTCCAAAAGAAGTCACATCCAGACCTAGTAGAAACTACTGGGCAGATCCTGGATCTGATCTGGATGCAGCAAATGATGGAATTTGGGGCTGCTTCTCTTAAGAGGAGTGTGTGGGGAAAGGAGGTATAGACTGTTCTTTATGTGTGAAAAACGAAACAGGTGAACCAAAGGGAAGATTATGGTGGATTCACTGATAAATGTTCAAGTCTTTTTCCTCTTCCTGGACACATGGGATGCTACAGACTGAATGTCTGTATCCCCCAAAATTCATCTGAAACCTAATCCCCAATCCAGCCCTGCTTGCTGTCAGGTTGCAGCCATGTAAGCCACTTCTAGAACCAGCCGTTAAAAACATTCTCTGTGAGGCCAGCCCGGTAGCATAGTGGTTAAGTTCACTTGCTCCACTTCAGCGGTCTGGGGTTCGCAGGTTCAGATCCTAGGTGCGGACCTACACACCACTCGTCAAGCCATGCTGTGGTGGCGTCCCACATACAAAATAGAGGAAGATGAGCACAGAGGTTAGCTCAGGGCCAATCTTCCTCACCAAAAAAACCAACCAAACAAACAAAAAAACATTCTATGTGATCCTTCAAGCCTCTCTTGCCTTTCTTTGGCAATCATGAAGTCCACAAGTTGAAGACAATGGCATCACAAGATGAAAGCAGCCTTCAGGGAGGATTGGCCCAGGAAAAGTGTCAATCCACATGAAACTAATATGAGAGAAAAATACAATTTTTTTTGTATTAAACTACTGAGACACTGAGGATATTTGTTACAGTAGCTAGCAGCATTGCTCCCAC